GGGGAAGGGGGTTAAACACTAAACCTCAAACCCGCAACCCACCACACTACACCACACCACAGGGGGGAGAGAGGGGGGGGTCAGGCGACACGGCACCATGTATGCATAGGTGTATTATCTATTTCTATTTGTGTGTGTGTGTATGCGTATGTCTTGATATTAAATGTGTGTGTGTATATATATATATGTGTATGTGTGTGTATATATATATATGCCTGTCTGTCTGTCTGTCTGCCTGCCTGCCTGCCTGCCTGTCTGTCTTTCTCTGTCTGTCTGTATGTATGTTTGTATATGCACATATGTATATACATAAAAAACATACCCTTGTTTGTATTTATAAGTGATTCTGTATATGCACATATATATATATATGTGTACATATATACGTATAGATAGAGATATACACATATGTAGAAAGAGATGTATTTATGTATATAAAAACTTGTATTTAAAATCTGTATATGTACAAAGACAGATATACACATCCACACACTTGGGCAAACAACAAACAACAATGCAAGCAGCTCAATCTATCCTGTTGCATTTCAGAGTACGCGACCTGCAAGTGCGAAGTACAGGGGCCAACAAAATTAGTAAGAGTACCCCCTGATCGTGCCATGAATCATAAGACAAATCAAACGAAAAAAACATAAACGTATGTGTATAAGTGTATGCACGAATGTGTGTGTGTATATATATACAATATATATATACACATACACATACTTACTTGCTCACATACATACATAAATACATGCTAAGACTTTATATATATATATTAATACACATACTTACTTACTTACTTACTTTACTTTACTTTACTTTACTTTACTTTACTTAACTTACTTACTTACTTACATACATACATAAATACATGCTAAGAGTTTGTATGTGTATATATATATATATCGCTCGTTTCGCTCGTTTCGGGCAGAGAGTCACGTGTCCGACGCAGCCCTTGTTGGGATGCACTTAATTAACAAAACTCGCGACTCACTAGGCGTCTGTATGCAGCATGCCAAGCTAATGAAGGCAACATACAACTCAGACTACCTAGGAGAAGCAGGGAAGGCGAGGTACCATAACCCGACCAGCTTAAAGCAGAAAAGTCGTATGCACCAGGCCACATCCTGCAGACAAGCAAAAATTGAAGGTGAGGGCGCCTGCAACTGCACCTTCTCACTAATTTTCGAGTGCCGGCTGCGCATGCCCGCACATCCGTGGCAACGCAGCCTCTAGCGAAGCTTGCCCTCGAACTAGAGGCTGGGAAACCTCAACGAAGCGTACCCAGCTCAGACTTACCCCCGGGATCAAACCAACACGCTGTGTCCTGGATCGCTGCGTTCATGATTGCGGAAGCCATGTGACCATCCTGAATCGTCGCCTTCACGTTGTCAACCCCAAAAGCCTCAACATCCAAACGCACACCACCAGGATCGAAACACCAGTCAGTAGCACGCAGGACTGTCATCAACGTCTGCAACGAAGTCGGTGGAGAACCGCTTGACCCGTCCTGTCGCCCTGCAGGCCCGCACGGCCTCAATGTTCTCCAGAATGCGATCGGTCGTCTGGTGGCGTGCCTCATGGGCGACTGCTGGCTCGAAACCCACCATTGAACAGCAGTGCCCATGTCTGCCAGCACCAGTCTCACTGCAGCACGCTAAGACGGCAGAGTCGGAGTCTTCACCACCGATCAGCCCGTCCGAAGGCATCTTTCCATCAGGTTGGATGCCGTGCTCGAAGCAAAAAAGCTCCCAGCAGGCACAGCCGAGGTGGTTGCAGCATGTGTTCCCAATGACAGGGCGATCATGCCACTGACCATCTGCTTGCAGGTCACTCAAGTCAGAAAAGAGGCATCGGCCACGATCGGCAACATGCGATCCACAAGGAATTGGCTCCCAATCCCCGGCACACAGGATCGGCTGGGTCTGCTGTAATGACAACTCCGCCAGTCGTCTGATTTCCAGCTTCCGGTCCTTCAGGCCAGATCCTAACCTCCACTCCAGGTGCAAGCGAAGAGCCTTCAACGAGACACCACCAAAAGGCAGGAGCACGGATAACGCGAAAGAGATATGTCCTCGCAGAGTAGCCTGCATGACAACTTGTCCGTCTGTCGGCTCGGGCGTGCCCTTTCCCATGGCATGGGCAATCAAACTAGGCACTGGGGCCATCGACGATCCAGCGCTGATGCTGGTATTTCGGGCCCTGTGTATATATATATATATATATGTATATGTATTATACACACAGAAACCCGCTCTGATTTATAATGCCCCCTACACTAAGATCGGCCCCAAACCAAACCGCGCCTTGTGCTCCTCCACCGAGCTGCACCTCGGAGGCGGTTTTAGGGTTCACTGATACCCCGTTTGGGGCCATATTAAAAATGCTCATTTTTACCCTAAACCCTAAACCCTAAACCCATAAAAATGCTCATTTTTAATCCTGATTAGGGTTTTATTAATACAAAAATGTAAGTTCAGGGTTTAGGGCGTCTAGGCTTAAGTAATGGCACCCCAGAAGGGCGTCTAGGGTTTTTGGTTTAAGGTTTAGGCTTTAGGGCTTAGGAGTTTAGGGTTTAAGGTTTAGGTTCAGGGTTTAGGGTTTAGGGTTTGGAGGGAGGCTTCCGGGTCAAAGGCGTAGGGTTTACGTCGTCGGTCAATTCCCTAGAAATTCCGTACTATAGGTTATGTTCGACACCGACAAGAAAGGAGGCGATGGGTAGTTCTCTAAATTAGGGTGCCGTTTAGGGTCCTTTTCATAAGGGTGCCGCACTATTTTGGGGACCAAA